TGCTTTGTTGTTAGCCTTACAGCATTTTGATGTTTATTTGAATGTTACTTTGCATCCAATTCTTGTATATACGGATCACAACCCCCTGACATTTTTGCATAAATTGTCAAACAAGAATCAAAGACTGACTAGATGGAGTTTGTTGTTACAAGAATACAACATAACAATTAAGCATATCAAACGCAAAGACAATGTTATTGCAGATGCCTTGTCCAGAGTATCATAAACAAATTAGATTTTTGTATTAATGTACATATGTTTTACAATTTAAGTTTTTCATTGACATTCAAACTTTTTAAGGGGGGAGGTGTTGTGAGGTGTGTTGTATTTGTATTGTTTCATCATGTCTATTATTAGTAACATTAAGTTTCTTGAACATTCCAGAGTGGTCAACATGTTCGGTCATTGTTTCTAGAACAATCCTGAACTTTGTGTATGTCCAGAACTTTCCAGTAATATCATGTTTTAACAATTTCTAGAATATTCTAGATTTATATTACTGTATAAATACCCTGTCAATTCGATGCATGGAGATACTTTGTCGTATAAGCATCATTGAGGTATTACTGGGATATAATTTCACTGGGACATTGTGTGCAGCAACGGACACTCTGATGTATGTATTTTTAGATTCTTGCTAAGTTTGTACTTTATGTTTCATATACTTATTATATATTACTGTAAATAAATTATTGTTAAGTTTAAATTGTGTTATTGATCTTTGCTGGCATTTCGGGTAATTCTGACCCATAACAGAATAGGTAGTAGAATCATGGCTGAATACTCTCTCTCCACTGGATGATGGTGGTATATACTGCGGATCATCAAAATCAAATACAGAAAAGCCGGTATGACGGTCTACTGCTAAATATAATTAAATAGTCCACATCATAATTTGAAATGTCACAATTTGTAATCTTTTATTAAACACGTTCATTTTTTTATGAAAATATAATAATATATAGTCTCGATAAAAACAAAAATACTAAACAGGGGATGTATATTCATTACTGTAATTCCTGAAGAATATCTGCAAGTATGCCACATTTATTGACCGATTGGTGAAAAACTTCCACCAAGCTGTCTTATAGTAAAGACCTTCGGTGATGCTGCAGGTGTCCTCACCAACCTGTTCTTGAAGATAACCATCAATGGCCTTGCTAGCAGGCCATCTTTTTCTACTGAATGAGTTACTTTGCGAGGCAACGCCTTCATATTTTACGTCATCGGCGAGGTTTTCTGAAATATACATGTACTCCTTTTAAATGTATATGTTTTTCTATTTCACGGTATGAAATTATAATAATGAGAATTTTACATCCACTCAAAGTTTTTATTGAATTTTTTTGCGATGATTTTGTATTTACATATAAAGTATCGGGTTTATATGTGTTATATAAATTATGGTAAGCTGTAACATAAAATCAGATAACCAGATTGAAACGATACATAGTATTAGACAACTGCACATTGTAATAAAACATACCGTTACTTGCAATCTGATTAAAATCAGATCCTTTGATCCCCTCACATTGATCGCTACACAAGGATCTGAAGAAACCCCATTCAGGGTCATCTCCAGGTGACCTTTGAATTATCCAATCAAATGTTCACTTTAGAGATTTGGAAAGTATCTCAGAATTCAATTACAGAGGGGAAAGGCCCGACGATACACAAATGGAAAAATCGTGACCTAGTTCCTGTAGCCTGTCAAGAGAAGGACCAAAGTCTTTTCTGTACAGTAATGTAATAAGTACTTGCTTTTGTCTTGTTTTTAGCTCTTTGTTTTGTACGAAGCGATAAGATCTTCTCCGCAGCTATTTTCACTTCTATATTCGTTTTCCCGAATGTCGCTTAAGTATGATCTCTCTGATTGGTCAAAATTTTCATGAATATTTTTATTAGAAAGGTCACCAGGAGATGACCCTGAATGGGTTTTCTTCAGATCCTTGTGTAGCGATCTATGTGAGCGGATCAAAGGAGCTGATTTTAATCAGATTGACGTTACTTGATGATCATGTCGTGCGATTTCTCAGAAATGACATTAGAAACAAAACTCTATACATGTTCCAGAGCTTTTTTTTTTTTTAGATTTGCTGGTCGCAGAAAAAATCAAACTTAGAGACAAAACAGCTGGTGGATAACACAATAATTGCATTAGTAGGAGAAATCATGTTTTATGTGTCATTTAAGACTTCGTAATCTTGATGAATCAGGATTTGCTCTTCATATCTAAAATATGTCACTTCCTGCCTGTGATTGTCCTTATATTTTGAACAATCACTATTGTAAAACATTGCTGAATTCGCACATGCATCCTGTCGGACATTTAAAATTTTAAATAATTGAAAGAGGAAATCTTAAATGTATTATGACTACTTTTAGGGAAAAAATTCACAGATAGCGAAAAACAAAGATGCGACTATAATATAAAAACAAATAAAGAACCTAAAAATGCATTGATTTTTTCAATGTAAAGAAAAACACGTGATTTATTTAATGCGTTGACTCTGTTATTGAAACGAGCAGCTGGGGAATAATAGGTAATTATTAATAAAGAACTTCCTGTTAGAAAAATTAAAGTGTTAGCATATCATGAACACTTAACGTTCCTTTTAAGAATGTTTAACTAATATGACATCCAACATGTACAAGCAAAGAACTTAGAACTTAAAATATGTACTTGTGCACCTGAAATCTTATCATTTTCAAAACTACACGGTCGCCAGTGTTGCGCAGTGATTAAAGCGTTTGCAATAGAGTCCTGAAGTAAGGACTTGTTCCTTAAGCCGCGGGTTAAAATTCTACTGTGGAACGCAGAGACTGGTCCTTTGGATGCGACCGTATAAACCGAGGTCCTGTGTTACAGTAGGTCCTGCCACGAATAAGATCCCTAACTACTTAATGGCCTTAAGTGCCGAGTATAGGACAGAATTTGTAGCTCTCCCTTGCGTCTATATATGAGTGAAACATTCTCGAAAGGGTCGTCAAACTAAACAATCAATCAATAAATTCATACATGCATGAAAACAGCACATCATTTGAAAATGTCGACCTACATTAAAAATTATGTTTATGTCCTTCTAAAAGCATAATAGTATGAGAAACAACTGCAGGGATAAATAAATTCCAAACTATATTGATTAGAAACATAGAAAAGTAATGAAATTTTTTTAACATAATGCATAAGAACTCTTAACATCTGTGGAATTACACTGAGGTAAAATGACTTTATGATTAAATGCAGAGAAATACCTACCTAACGATTCTGATATCACAACAAATATTAATCCAATGTATATCTTCTCTACAAAAACCATTATGTCGTACATACATGTATATATTATTTTCTGTTTTAACATTCAATCATATAGAAACGTCTGCAAAGAAATAAAATATAAAAATATCAATAAAAGGACATGATTGGATAAACCCAAATGAGCAGAATAATGTTTAATTGTATGTCTTTAAATTAATTGTTCCTCATTAAGTTAAATATTTTTGTTTTGACAATAGAAATAAACACCATTTGAGAATTATGCAACCAATAAAATACATTAAGGAAATATACGGAAAGTCAAACATTAATAAAAGAATATGTACAGAATAATATTTTAAATCAGAAAAATCATAACATATAGGCGGCAATTTTAGCGAGACACAATTTTAGCGATCCTAAAAATATGGTATTTTATTTTTAGCGAAAAATAATATAAGCGATTTTAAAGTGCTCACTATAAAGAAGCTATAATTACAAATTTAAAACAGTTTATTTTTTGCAGCATTTAATTTTAGCCATCACATAAACCTTGCTTATACATGTAATGACAAAATCCTTGCTTAAAATTCTGCTGATACGGTATTTGTATAAAAATTTAAAGTGTCTACAAATGGTTTTATTGAAAACTAAAATATCATATAAACAGCGGTATGCTCAACCTCCTTTTCAAAAAGAAGAATGGAAAACTGTTATCATTTTTGCTGGAAAAAAGCAAATATAATTTTCACGTCTCAGCATTAGATAAGACGGTATTTTTTGGCAAAATAAATGACAGAGTATTGCTGCTGTTACATGCATTTTTTTTTAAATTTCCATTAATTTGTCTTTCTGTTATTTTTTTGGTCAAAGTTTATTATTTGAAATAAATGATACCACAGAGTCTAACACATCTGTTTCATATTTGGATCTTATACTAGAAAAAAAGACGTAAATGATAAATAAAAGCAACGCTTTATGATAAAATTGATGAATTTGACTTTTCAATCGTCATTTCCTTACTTATATAGCAGTATACCTCACTAAACTCCGTACGAAGATTAGCTATATCAGTTGATTCGATACACAGTAGAATGCTCTATATATGAACAATTTCTAAAACGATGTTAATTATTGACAGACAAGTTCATGAAACAAAAATATTAACAGTCTCTTTAAAGTAATTTCTTCTTAAGTTCTATGTCGATATCGATACAATGACCTTGTCAGCAATACAACTTATCTGCTGTCTGACTTTTTTTATACTAACTGTTAGAACATTTTTATAACACTGCATTATCGACATATTTCTCTGTTAGTTCCCAACCATGACAAGGAGCATGATCGATAGAAAATGCCCACTCCTCCATTGCACCTGATCCCACATCTGATGTTTTAGAGGTCCGTGTTTACTCTGCTCCTATTCTGCATCGTTTAATGGACTTTAAACTTGAAAACTTTTTGTTATCTCCATATATTTATCATACAGAAGCCATACGCCTAGGTGTACATTTAACAATGCATTATAAGTATTTTTATCTTAAATGATATAGACATTTATTATAGCAAACAATGCCGCTAGACAAATATTGTTTTCAACAACGGCTTGTTTCTGATAAAGTGAAGGAAGACACTCTACAGCATTATCATAATCATTTTCGCCATCGTAATCAACACAAACACTCAATCCCTAACTTTTGTCGCCTTTCATCCACGTGTTCATTTTATAAATGAATTTCCACATAGTCTGGATCTTCTAGTGTGGAATCTACTTGATCATAGGTATTTCTGTTGCTTCTTAATGTTGAATTACCACTGTTATATGCATGTCTGTAGTTTTGTAATGTGGAATCAAAATTGTTATAAGTATATCTATTATCTGTCGCACTTATTCGATCATAATCATGTACATTTCCAACAATAGATAGGGGCTTTCTGTTTATATATTGAACACGTCTCTTCCTTCTGGTGTGAAAAAATCTTGAGCATACTATTATAAGAGTTACAGCAAGAAACGCCGAGATACTGGAAACGATGACAAATAGCGTCTTCCAAAAGTTTAATTCTAAAATATAAAAATAAAGAAATGATTTACTTTACCTTTTTTGAATAGTGTAATTAATGACTCTTTATTATTTATGTTAGCATAATGGTGAGATAGTGGAAAATAGTTACATGACTAAGGACACTTTTGTGCGACCCTTCCAACTGCATTGCAATAGTTATCTTCGTTATCCTCACAACCCACTTTTACCAGTAACAAAATTAGAAATTAAAAAAAAAACATAACGAAAAATAGGAAATTTTAAATTGTGTTCTGAATTATGAACTACATTTAAATAATTAAAAGTAAGAGCATTAAGGAGTCTCGGGGGTAAAAAAAATAACCATAAGAAATAACTTTAAATAATCTTTAAGTTCAGATGTCTTCAAAATTCAATCATTTAAATTATAAAAATGATCACTTTTATTATATATTTATATGGAACTCTTCTTTTAAAGGAGTTCAATATAGTCTAAAAATGGTACCGACCACCTAGTCCTCTTAATAGATCGAACAAAATGATTTGTCATAATAAATTGGCTTCTCTTACCTTCTTGTAACACACTCTCAACAGCTGACGACGTAACTGAAAGTAAACACATTTTTAAACAAAAGAAATCTATTGCATGTGTACACACTCATTAATTGTAGAAATATATTTAGGTTCAACTAATTTTACGTTTTAGACCACATCTTGTAAACTCTACCGTTCAAACAGAGGGGACCCTCCCATCCGCGCTCACACCCCTGTTTACAGATTCCATGGGTCTTTGAACAGGAAGTACCATTTCTACAATGTCCACAGACAGATGAACAGTTTGATCCGTATGTATATTCCTGGCATTCTGAAAGTCACAAAAATGTTTTTGTAGCTCAATAACTTTAACACGTACAAAAATATTTTCTTTATGTCAAATTAGTTAAATAAAAAGTTTTTGTTTTGATTTTAGAAAGGAATTTTTCAATTTTTTTCTTAAAGGATAAAGTCATAGAAAATTATATTCTTTGTTGGCTTATTCGTTTCTATTATTTTAATTTTCCTGGTATATTTATATGTCATACTGGTTTTCTTAGTTTTTAGTAATGAGCTACCTGATTTTGTATAACTTGAATTGTTTAAAACCAATTGTATAAAAAAGAAAACATATAATTTTCCTTTTCGATTTCTCTCATATATTTAAAAAAAAATGCTTAGGAGAAAGTAATATAATGGATAGATTTTTTTAAAATTATTTCTTACCTTAACATTTATAGCACAATTTTTTTGAAAAAAAAATCCGTCGAATATTAAGAAGCCGATTAAATAAACATTTTTATGAGATAAACAACTTAAAAAGTAAAACCGCAAATGAAATATATGACACAATCATTAATTGTAGAAATATATTCAGGTTCAACTAATTACTTTTTAGACCATATATTGTGAACTTACCAT